TAAATTGGTTTATCGTCTGGTTGTGTTAGCCTTGACTTTGCCAGTTGCTATCGCCACTGTTGAGAGAGCCTTCTCAGTTATGAAATTTGTGAAGAATGAGTTGAGGAATAAGATGGGAGGTGAATGGTTGAATCACAGGATGATTTGTTATATTGAGCGAGATATCTTTGCAGACATTAAGGATGATGACATTTTATATCATTTTCAAGAACTAAAGTCTCGGATGAACAAGTTACATCCATTGTCTCAAACTAGAGAAAGTGGCATGTCGCTTTGCTTTCATATATTACTATCATTTTACTCGAGTGATCAATTATATTTATTGGCTGCATTGCTAATGTTCTTAAACACCAAACCTATGTGTTATGTGTAGGTTCAGGCAGGCTGGGTTCAGGTCCATATGAAGCTCTTAACGAAGATATGAGAGGTGACGGTGAACCAAACCATACTTAGTTAGGTGTTTTTTAACCACTTTTATGTTACTGGCATCAATTATATCATGGATTTAAATATGAAGTCGAGATATCATTTAAACTTATACATCTATGAGCTATGCTTTGTTATTTATCGGTATTAGTCCCGGTGCGAGTGGTATGTATATGCTTTGATACTGCATTGGCGGAGCTCGTCAATCGAGAGTGGCCCTACGCGTCAAAATTGGCGAGCTCCGCCACTGCCGGGGCGGGCTAGTGCCGTGGCGGCACGTTTGGAAAACTACACTTAGGTCCAATTTAGTTGCAAAAATTTTTACAAAATTTTTCAAGATTTCCCGTCACATCGAATCTTTGGACGCATGCATGAAGCATTAAATATAAATAAAAAATAAAACTAATTACACAGTTTAGACGAAATCCACGAGACGAATCTTTTAAGCCTAATTAGACTATGATTGGACACTAATTGCCAAATAACAACGAAGAGCGCTACAGTGTCATTTTACCAAAACTTTTGACATCTAAACAAGACCTTAAACGGATGTCGGGGCGCTAGCAAGCCCGCAAAAGAAAACAACTGTTTGGCCCTTTTCGGGTGCGTGAACTGCGAGGACGCTCACGATAAACGGCCAGCGTGTCATCAGCCGTGAGATCACCGCCATAAACGCACCGCCACCGTCGCCGTGCCGTAATAAACACCACGCCACCTCGCACCTACCGTACCGTGCAGTACTCCCCGTATTGATGCCATGTCCATGGCCTCGGTCTCACTCTCAACCCGTCGTTACCCGTTGCTCGCGATCTCGCTCCAACCACGGCGTCCGTCCTGTCCGTTGTCCGCGACGGGATGGCAAGATGGGCTAGTAGAGCAAAGATCATTGCGACGCGCGTCGATGTCAGACCGTGGGCCGCTCGACGAACGATGCGCAGACTTTCGGCTTCCAAGAATGGGCATGGCATTTTTATTTGGCATAAAATTCCACATTCCAGCTACGTCTTTGGATGCCGCGGGGCGGGGACCGGCGCGCCGTGTCGATCGACTCCAAGCCCAGTGCGGCGCACGAGTAATTCTGCTAGGCGCGACGTCAAATCGGCGGACCTACCTGATTGGATGCCTCACGTCTCCCAGGTCGCCGATGCGCGGCTGTGGCTACTCGTTGTCGTGCCACCGCCTCCTGGGACGGGCAGCCGGCCCCCTCCGGCGAGACCCATCGGTTGGGTTGCTAAAAGGCGGCTATCTCACGGTACTACAGAAATAATTTTAAGTGACGGTGTCCAAACATTAACACAAACATTAACAGAGGCCGGCACAAAATCCAACCGCTTCCAAAAATATTAGGCTATTAACGGAGACGGCCACATTTATTTACCGAGATGGTCACTTTTGTCCGCCTTGTAAAATCGATTAACGGAGGCGGTCAAAATCCAACCGCCTCCTAAAATCGATTTACGGAGGCGGCCAACTTAAGACAACCGTCTCCAAAAATGACCTATTTACGGAGGTGATCGTCTTAAGGTGTCCGCCTCCATAAATCTATTTTCGGAGGCGGGCACACTACAAGGACCGCCTCCAAAAATAGTGGCCCCGCTCCTAGCCTAGAAAACGGCTCATCTCTGCCTTTTCGACCGGGCTCATATATAACTAACACTTAACCCTAGCCTCACTCCCAGCGTCGCTCCTCCCGTCCCGATACTCGACCGCGGCGCCCCTCCCCTCCCGATCGTGCGCGGCGCGCCTCTCCCTCCCGGTGCCCCGGCCTCCCTCTCCTCTCCCTCCCCTCCCGATGGAGCGCAGCGCCCATCCCTCTCGTCAACTCCCTCCGGCGGTGGTGGGCGCGCGGCCCCGGCGGCACGGACGGTGGCAGCGAGGATGCGCGAGCGCCCCTCCCTCTCCTCTCTTCCCTCCTGTAGTGGTGGGCGCGCGGCCCCGTCGGCGCAGATGGAGGCGGCGAGGACGCGCGTCTCGGTGGTGGCGTGGCCAGGAGCAGGCGGCGCATCTCCAACAAGCTCGCAGCCCCGACGAGATCCGGATCCGACGGCTTCGTGAGATCCGGCACGAGGAGGCGGCGGCCGACGAGATCCACGCGCGAGGAGGCTTGTGGCGCTCCCCGGTGGCGGATCCAGGGCGTGGCCGTCCTTCGGCAGCGGATCGAGGGTGGTGGCATCCCCCGACGGCAGATTCGGGGCGTGCGCAACCGGATCCAGGGACGACGACGGCGACGACGCGCAGATCCAGCTAACGGTGGCGGCGGCGCGTGGATGGGCTCGGCGAGGTCGTGGATGGGCTCGGCGAGCCTGAGCGTGTTTTTTTTTTGTTTTTCATGTTTGATTTACGGAGACGGGCAAAGCAACCGTCTCCTATGTCACGGATTAACCATGACCTTTGGTTGGAGGCGGTTGCAATGTCCACCTCTAGAAATATAAAACGTCCACCTCCCATAAGATTTCTCTAGTAGTGTGGCTGTCATTACTCATTTCGAGGTAGCTTAGCTGTGTGCCCGGTGTCACTCTTTTGGTCATGTTCGTTTATCTTATAATCTGTATTTTTCGGTTTATCTTTTTAGTTAGAATAGTGTTTTTCTCTCCTAACAAATCAGTCGGAATAATATTTCAATTTGATTTTTAGGAAGCGAACGGTGCCTTTGATTTGATGTGCCTGCTCATCACGACACTGCTTGCCCATTGTCGATGACGGAGACTCGCATGGTGTTATTACTAGATTCAAATCCGGCGGCCCCGTCCGCTCTTCGATCTGATAGCTAGCTAGGAACACGTGTTCCAGCCTCCAGGCTGATATGATCCAGGTTCTGCACTAGGAACACGTATGTTTCTGTACTGTTCGCGTACGCAAACGGGCGCCTCGACCCCCGCTGGCGCTGGGCCAGGTGCAGCGGGCGCCCCGGCACATCGGTGCCGTCCTTTTCGCGTACGTGTCGTCGGCGCCGCCCCACCGCGAGCTGGTGCGCAGCAGCAAGTGCGGCGATCCGAGCATCCGCCCGCCCCCCCCATCAATGGCATTGCTCGACCAAGTCATACGGCGCGGCCGTAGTCATGCCCATGGGCCCTGCCTAGTCGCATCTCCGCATTATCCAACCGGCGCTAGGCTCTCTGATTCGCTAACCTCCTGGAGTTGTTACCTCGTTACATCGACGATTCCCGTGTCGCGGATAGAACCGGCTGTGAGTGTGAGCTGCTGGCTAGTGCTCCAGCTGATTTGATTTGATGGGGGCAGCCGGGCTGGTTGTGGCGCCAGTGCGACACGGACACGTTACGGCCGGCGTGCCGACTCGGTGGGATGAGGACGATGCACCAGGGATGGCACAAGGGTAGAAGAACACGCGCCACGCGCGGTGGTGTGGGGGACGGCCGCGCGCGCGCGGGGACGGCGACACCGCAGCCGTAGGTGCGCGGCGCTCTCGGCCTTGAATCCTTCATCATCCGACGCACTCGGCACAGCGCGTGCGTGCACGCCGCTTTCATCAGGACGCAATGGAACTGATTGAGATAGATCTACGGAGTAGGCTTGTTAAAGCAACCAAGAGCCTTTCTAAATCATCGTTTAGCGAGTTATATGTATAAAAATCGATTTCTATATATTTTCAATCTCCAACAGTTTTTCTATATATCATGCGCACTTTAGAGAGCCATTTTTGTCTTTTATTTTTGGCTACTAAAAAATTCAGAATAAAAGATGACTATATTTAGATGATCATTTAGAAAAGCTATCGAAGGATAGGTTTTCATCCAAATCGCTATTTCTAGTGATTAATTATCGGATATACTCTTACTGGCGCCTGGCGGGACGGGACACCGGACGCTTGTTAGTTGGCGCGCGCGAATTGCAGCAGCAGCCAGCAGGTAGGTAGGCAGGCAGCCGCCGCCCGTGGAGTTTGGAACTTTTTTGGATGTGTGAGGTGCTTTTTTTTTTAGAAAGGATGCGTGAGGTGCTTGCTGGGCGTTTATGTTAGGAACGGGACACAGTCCAGTCAGTCCAGTGCACTAATATATGGAGCCCATGGGCTTCAAAGACTTGTCGTTCGGCCACGGCCTAGCCCAAGTTTAGCTGGGGCGGCATCCTACTCCCAAGTCCTAAGACCCAGATACACTGCGCAGCACTGGCCCAATTAGGATACCTAAATCATCTCCGTCCTGACTGGGAAATTCCATTTCAGTTTTCATCAAAAAGAAAAAACAAACGCATCGGTTTATAAGTTGGGTCGCAGTCAACCAGCACGGATCACTAAATCCACATGATAACTGCGGCCCTCTTCATTCCTGGACCGCTGGATCAATATTTATTTGTGACTTGACTAGTAAAATGCGCTAAGATATTCCGCGCCGTACACCGACAAGCAAAACTGGAGGAAAACATTCTTCCCATCGACGTGCACGCCTCGTACTGGAACTCACGAACGTGCTTTCCATCAACCTCATAAGCACGCACACGCCTGTCATAAGCGCCGATATGATGCCGCCTCTCCAGAGCATCTCCCACTGGCTCCAAATTCCGCGACATCGCGCGAATTCCGAACCCCCAGTTCTGATTCACCTCGTCGGCCAACGGCCATGCTTCATTACAGTTACAGCACGCCGCAGCCCTCCCCGCCGATGCCACCGCTCATTGGCCCCGCGACGCCCCGCACCCCGGGCTCCGTGCCGTCGCCGCTGCCGCCGGCCTCGCCGCGGCCCGCGATCACGCTCACCGCACCGCCGTCGTCCAACAAGCGGAGGCGCCGCGGCGCCGGGGCCGCGCGCTCCTCCTCCCTGCGCGCCATCCGCGCCGTGCGCGCGCTGTTCCGGTCCCTCCCGATCCTCGCGCCGGCGTGCCGCTTCCCGGGCGTCATCCCGCGGCACGGTGGCGGCGGGCCGAGGGGCCACGACGGCCACCACCACATCGGCGCCGCGTCCCGCACGACGGGGACGCTCTTCGGGCACCGCAGGGCGCGGGTGACGCTGGCGGTGCAGGAGACGCCCGGGAGCGTGCCCGTCCTCCTGCTGGAGCTCGCCATGCAGACCGGCAGGTTCATGCAGGAGATGGGCGCCGAGCACCTGCGCGTCGCGCTCGAGTGCGAGAAGAAGCCGCCCGGCGCCGGCGCCGGCATCGGGCGCGCCAGGCTGCTCGACGAGCCGCTGTGGACGGCCTACGTCAACGGCCGCAAGATCGGCTACGCCGTGCGCCGGGAGCCCACGGAGGGTGACCTCACGGTCCTACAGCTCCTGCGCACGGTGTCGGCAGGCGCCGGCGTGCTACCGGCTGACGTCGTGGGCGGTGGCGGCGCGGGCGCCCCCGAGGGGCAGGAGGCCGGCGACCTGGCGTACATGCGCGCGCACTTCGATCGCGTCGTGGGGTCCAGGGACTCGGAGTCGTTGTACATGCTCAACCCTGACGGCAACAACGGGCCGGAGCTTAGCATCTTCTTCATCAGGATATGACAACTGTCAATTGACACTTCCTTTCACATTTTGGAGTTTCTATGACTCAGATTAGTGAGCAGAAGATAGTTTTAAGCTATATATAAGCAGGTAAATTTGCTTCAAGGGACAAGGGTAGCTCAATGCTCTGTTTCTCTGTCTGAAATCAAAATCTCTAGTTCTGTGCTGATCTATGAAAGTAAATATTCTGAAAACAGAAAGCTCGATGCTCTGTCTTTCTGTGTCTGTGTCTGTGCCTGTGCTGCACTGATCTATGAAAGTGAAATCTGCTGAAAACAAAAAGATGTTTTAAAAAAGAGCTCGATGCTCTGTTTTTCTGTGTCTGAAATCAAAACCAGCTGCTGATCTATGAAAGTGATGAAATCTGCTGAAAACAGAAAGATGTTCAAAAAAAAAAAATTTGGGTAAGATCTGCCGGAGCAGAGAGCCTTAACCGCAATGTGTGCTATAGGAAAGCCCGAAGGCTGTTCCCGTCCCTGTCAGGGGAGATGCCAACCGTCTCTCCTTTCTACGAACACGGCATGCTGCAGCAGGCTGAAGCTTATAAGCAAGCAGGTTCATCTTTTGCCAGGCAGTATGGTACTAAACACTGAACACCCCTACGAGCCTTTGCAATGTCTTATGACAGTACATACATACATACAGAAATAAGCCCAACACAGCTGCACCGAGTCAACCAGTTACCAGTATGGCACTGATAAGTGTAACAGAGATGCGTATTATTTTTTTTGGTCATAAAAAGGTCAGTTCCAAACCGACTGAAAACGTGTGACTTGTAATGATTTCAACCTTTAGAACTTCAGTTGCCCGGAATGTTGTTAAACCTGACCTCTTAAAACATTTTTCCAAGAGAATTGCGGCGTTTCCTCTCTTTAGTGGAAATTGCAACCTTTCTTAGTGGCAACCAGCTTTGCCGCTTCTCAAATATATTATTTTTTATGAGAAACTCTCAAATATATTATTAATCACTACTCCTAGGAAGGGCCGGCCTCCAAAGTTAAAAGGCCTTCTTTGTTCTCTGTACGGCCTGTTTAGGCCCGCTTGAGGCCCAGCATCGTTGATCATTGGTTGCCAAGGCATTGACTGCTTATTGTACTCTGGTAGGTGTTAACAAGAGGCTTACACAACTTGACAAACGTAGTCGTACTCTTGCACAGATGCCCATATATAGCTGGCTTCTGGCTTCTCCACGCCATGTAAAATGAAATGAAACTAGAGTAAAACTAACACCTCAAAGTTCACTCTAGTGCAAGGAGCACGGAGTGAATTGGCGTAGACACTGCAGTTTGCAATCTCGTGGGAATGAGATGCACTGGGAATTTGGGCTAAAGCGGCGGCCAAACAACTCGCGGTCTCACTGTGGCAAATTGGCCACGATAGCCTTGTCATCCTCGCATCGCGCACGACGGGGATGCGGGTGCCGCTGGAGGTGCAGGAGGCGCCTGGGAGCGTGCCCGTCCTGGTACTCCTCACGAAGCCATGCAGACGGGGAGGCTGGCAATCTGAGCCCTCAGGAGATGGGCGCCTCCTGCGCGTCGCGCTCGAGGAAGACACACACCTTGCAATATTCGAGAGATAATGGATCGTAATGCAATCTTAACCTCAATCTAGCCCTGAATATATAGAGAAGGGCCCTAATCCTATCCAATCAATTACTCTATATTTACTAAAGAGAATTCTACTCTAATTGTGGCTCTATTTGGATCATTGAGCTGATTATGAAGCTCAATACGTGGGCCACAACCAAGCAAAGCAAGTGGGAGCATAAGCTAGCAAATGCACAGTCCTTGGGCTGCTCTCTGTTTGATATGTCATTCCATCGTTTTTCTTGATGGTTATCTAGCATGCCTGGTGCTGCAGCTGCTATGTGTTTGATCCATCGTTTTATCTAGTGTTAAAATAAAAAGAAAAGCACACGAAAAGATAAGGGCTGAAAGAGAGATGACAATTTGAGTGATAAAATTATTGCTCGAAATGCATTACACATCTCTAAACAGGTCATGAAAGCAGACAATGATTTATACATATTTTTTTTTTCTCAAGAATGGTGCTGATGAAAATTAAAACTCATCATGCCAAGCATTACTCTAGCCAAAGGTAGCCTCATTGACGCTTCTTTGATCTGCTTCTGCTACATATAATGAGCTCACGCAGTCACGCTCTTCGAGTCTCCGAAGTGATTGATGAACACATCAGTTGGTTGGTAGATTATTAAAGCTTTCTACTTCATATAGTCCACACAACTAAACAACACACATACATGGTGTATAAATATCTGTCATCCACCCGACTGGATGGCAACATCAAATAACCAGAGTGAGTGTGAGTGAGAGAGGGTTGGAATCGCGAAGCACTAGTTGTGCTTGTGCAGTCTTGGGGTGGCGAGATCTAGCAGGAAACTAGGAATTGGATGCACTGGGAATTAGGATGTAAGGTTAGAAGCCTTGGTTGGTGTATAACTGAGGTTTGAACTCTAAGGCCTGAGTTACACATTGCACCATGCACATGCACAAACAAACACAATATAGGCTCCGAGGCAGCATGAGCAAAATCATGAAGCAAACCAATGACGAAGCCAGGAAAAAATTATAGCTGGGGCGAATTGCAACGACAAAATGAACCAAAAGACACCGCATTCACATCGCACCTTATTAACATACTACAATCACAAAAAATTCACATACTACAATCACCCCAATTATTACAAAAACGCTGCAATCACAAATGGTATGTTCACATACCTCAAATTTGAAGAATAAACTAAAAGTTCTTGATCACTTAATCCATATACACCTTCACCCTCCTCGTGATGGACCTCCTCCTCTCCTCCCTCCATCGGAGCAGAGCAGTAGAAGCCAACAGCGCTAGGAGGCGGGCGGGGACGCCGGGCGGGCCTGGTGGCGAGCCGGTGTGTCGAGCGGCGGGTGGTGGCGGGCGAGTGTCCGCTCTGGCACTCCGCATCCGTGTGGCGCGGTGCCCTGTTAGCCAGTGGGCGGCGGGCGGCGACCAACTCCTCGCGAGTCGCGACCTCGCCTAGGGCGTCGGTGCGTCGCTGCAAATTGGGGAATTGGGGAACGAATCCAGCAGTTGCCAATTGGGCTTAGGGAAGCAGTGTGCGACGGTGGGCGGGCCTCTCACCTCTATTGGGCTGAACAATGTGAAGAAAAAAGCCCATCTTCTAGTTTCTTCCTCCGTGCAGCATCGCGCAGGTCGCTTTGCTCGTGCTTGTGACTCCTCGCCGCCGAGGACCTAAGTTTAAGGAAGAAGCGGGGGTCCGGGGGTCTGGGACGAGCTCGCCGGTAGCTGGGGCAGCCACCCCACCCCGCCGCTAGGGTGGCTCCGCCAATGAAGCAAACAGTCCATCCTTCTCTTCGAGCATGTGGACAGACCGCGAGGCTTCTCGGGCGGCAGCGTTAGCAAAGGCGAGGGCCTGCGCAACTCAGGCTGAAAGGGATAAGAAGGTTGGGGAGGTGGGGTCCATCTATTAGCTGCTATTAGTTGTTCTCATTCAACTAGTGAGATAGTTGGTATTTGAGCATTTAGCTAGTCTACTATCTATACTTGTTTAGACAAAAAAGAGATAATTATTAGCAAATACTCCCTCTGTCCCTAAATACAAGTCGTTCTCACTTCCCGAAAAATTAACTTTTTTGAACTTTGATCAATTATATATAAAATAATATTAATAATTATAATACAAAATTAGTATAATTAGATAGATCGTTTAATATACTTTCATAATAAACTTATTTTGAGATATAAATGTTGCACGTATTTTCTACAAATCTAGTCAAAGTTGAGAAAGTTTGACCCGCACGCATTCCATAACGTCCTTCTTTTTTTATGTATTTCGTATGCACGTAGAGGGGCAGTTCGGCTGGTAAGAAAACCAGCCGGATTTCATTGTGCACGGCTGGTTTTCACTGTTCACTCTCTCATAAATTCCTCCAGATTTATCTAGATTTTTCCAAATTTCTCCCAGCCAACGGGACCAAATTTCTTGTACTTTAGACATGTACGTTGGGCACTCATGCACATAAATTTCACGTACTATTGGGTTCAGGTACTCACACGTTCATTGCCTCATTGGACACGTATGCAAGATTGTGCATGACGAGGAGACCGGGATATCTGTCAAATCACACATGCATCGATCAAACCTAGACAAGATTTTTATATCTAAAATATTCCTTATTTAGCTTTTTTATAAAATAAAAAATTCAATAAATATAGATGATCGTAATCGTCTGATCGAAACGAATAAACGGTTCACAGTCATTTGGATGTACCGTAGCAAAGCCCATCAGAATAACGGGCATCTGACCGCACGGCAAGAACATCAGCTAGGTAAAACTAGAAGTGGAATTACAACAAAATCTGGCAGGAAGGAATGATGGATTGGTGAAACATTGAAGTCTGAAGCTTGAGGTGCACCATGTACCCAAACGGGACACATGTGTATATAAATAACGGGCATCTGAATTCTGGCAGCATGGCAAGATCAAGAAAACCAGCTAGGTGAAACTAGAAGTGAAACTACAACAAGATCTGGTAGGAATGATGGGTTTGTTAGTCATGCGTTCAGTGAGATGTGCACATTTTCATAGGATTTGGATGTGCTGGGAAAATGGACACCGGATGAGGAGTTGCAATAAGCTCCGTGACCTCTACCTGCTGCGGGCTCCATTCTTTGAGCTGTCTTACAAGGATTTGCTGACCAAACCAAGAACTGAGAATTACCTGCCAGTGCCATTAGTGTCTAAGTGTGAGAGGAGATTAACTTGCACTTCAACCTTTCTCTCTCAAGCAGGAAAACTGGAATTAACCAATGCTGTCCCGACTGCGCTTCCTACTTTTCACTTGAGTGCCCTTATATGGTGTATTTTCTATACTCCCGGGAGTAGTTACTCCCATGTGCAAGTATACGCACGCTGAGGGTCCTTCCAGCCAGTCCAGCGGATCTACAGGTTAGTGGATATCTGGAGGATCCAATTAGGCAT